GTATGTACTCTATTTCCATGAAAAATAACGACGTTAACTGTATTCTATCGTCGCATTCTCATAATTCACATCCTTAAGATTTGTCAGAACATACATCGGACAAAAGCAGCACCAAATCATCCTTCATTGGACATTTTTATTGATTTTAACACAGCTTTCAACAAAATGTAGTGACCAGCCCTCATTTCAAAGTTAGTTGAAATGAATATGGCACGTAAGCTTGTGCGTTTTAATATATATCGATTTGCAGATGATCTGGCAATCTTGATTAAAAAAATTCATTAGAAAATATCATATATGTAAAAAAAAACAAGGTAAAATAGCTATGTAGCACTAGAAAAATTTTCTGAAGATTTTCTATTACTCGTTAATGTAGACAAAACAATGGTTATGTTATTTCATCATATCATTGCTCTGCATACCTAAATATATTTTTCCAAAAACAAAAACTAGAATTTGTATCAACGTTTGAATACTTAGGAGTTGAACTAAGGTGTAATTTGAAATGAAATATGTACATACAAACACATATAACTCAAAAAAAACCTATCGTAGTATTCCAAGAAGTGATATGAAAACTCTCAGATTATTATTCCTTACTTTTGTTCTTCCATATTTTATATGGATATTCATATTATGATTTATGTTTACAGAAAAGCAAAGGAGAGATATTGAACATGTATATAATTCAAGAATTCGAGTAGTATATATCTTGTGGGAATGCAGCGATCACACGAGATTAACCCTTTACTCCCTCCTCCTCTATTGGCCATTGGAATCGCCATTTTTAGAAACACCGTAGAAAATTTAGCATCTGAAGTATTAAGAATCTTCTTGCATATTTCCTGTAGAAAACTCCCTAAGCTACCGATTGGCAAAAAAAAGGAATCTTTAATCATGACTCTGTTTCCAAGACGTAAGACTTACAAAAGAGAAGAATAGACGATTATTCAAAAAAAAAAGGACCCTTTGTTCTTCTTTTGTTATTTTTATTCATGAGCAATATATATTTTGTTGATATTTTATGTGATAAATGTTGCTGCTGTTGGGTGTGGGTGTAGTGTTTGGTGTGGGTGTGGGTGTGGGTATGGGTGTGCGTCTTCTTTTCAAGTACATCCACACCCACATCTACATCCACACCCACACTCACACCCACACCCACACCCACACCCTCTTGCTTATGGAAATGCTTTTGCCACGTGTTCTATTATTCTCAAGAAACTGAAGTCATATGAAAACGATTTTAGTGGTTACAACAATGACAACATGGGTCTATCGACACAAGTTTATTGGGTATCTTTATTAAATGAACATTAATTTATTACAGTTTGTTTTGAAACAATAATAAAAAGAGACACAGCTTTCAATCTAAATTATTTTTCTTTTTTATAGTCTTTAAATTTGAAGTCATCGATTTCTTCAGTGTTTTTATTAAAAACATAATGTACATCAATACCGGTACCCTCATGTGTCGAAGACATTTTTATCCATCCTTCTTCCATAGGCCATCTCGAATCCCTCATTGCTATTCTGGTCAATTCTTTTCCTTTGTGAGCTCCTGCCATCGCTGCGTTCAGCGCTAATTGCTCATTTAATGTCTGCGGTTCGAATCTACCAGTTGTACCTCGACCAAGTGGCTTGTTCTCACATCGGTCCACAACAAATTGATAAGCAGTTCTTTCAGTATGGTCCGTGTTACGATTGCTTGTTGTTTGTTGCGAATAGATGTTTTTTGTTATTTCCGAAGCATTTACAGTAGTTCCTTGTTGACAGCCTGATCGAGCTTGTCCCTCTTTCAGACGGATCGATAAGTTTACGCCACCATATACTTTCAAATGGCTATTTTCCTTTGAAGAAAATACAGCAGGCACCCAGGAACACTCAGCTTTCGTACTATTCAGTTTGGCCTGTGTCTCATTGTCTAGTTTGACTTTCATGCCAACGATTGTTTCTAGTACTTGTGAATATTGGTTGCGCTTATAGTTATATAATGAATCTGCCATGAAGTCGATAAGTGGTTGTGCTCGATTATATAGTAACCAATCTGAGACCATAGCTTTTACTGAAGTTCTTGGGTCAGGAGAATGGCATAACAGGCAAATAGCATCTGTTATTTCAGTTAAATTACGCTCATTAGTTGCTGGTAACTGTAATCGTATAGACTGTAAAAGATCACGAATGGGTTCGGTCTCAATGGAAATTGTATTGATGTATTTTTGAACATTGTTATATGTCGACCGAATAAATACGAGCAATACACCGAGCTTTAATAATTCCTTGAGTCGTAATAATTCAGGGAAATACGAACCTATCTCGTCATAGTTTCTCGTAAATGCTTGAGCGAATTCACCTTCTGGTGAATGATCATCATTGATTTTCGATACATCATCAATTAAATTGCCTTGCTCATCATATTTCATCAATTGTTTCTTCACACACATCGGTACATCGCTGACATAGTACGTTACAGTATTGTTATACTCGTTAAAACAGCATTCATACGGTATTTCTCCGGCTTCGATCCAAAATCGATGAACACTATTCCTGGCAGCCCCATCTTTTCTTTCATGAACCGGCCGTAGTTCTTGCCGTAACCATTCTGGTAGTCGCATCATAAAGCCTTCAGAGGCAGCACGCGTTTGAAACGGAGCCTTGGCGCAAACTTCAATGCCAGTGGAAATCATCTTTAGCAAATAGTCGGCATGCAATAATGTCATAAGAAAATTTGTTTTCGATAAATTGTCTGGTGCGTAACGCATCTCTTGAAACGGATGTGATTGGAACTCGGCAGCAGGTTGATCCAAGGTAAAAATCGAACTCGTAATGCCTTTTGTTAGAACTTCATGTACATCATATGCATCAAATAACGCTTGATCATTTGATTTAGCTGTTTGGAATAGAAATTTTATTGCGCCTGTATTAATATTAAATGAAATACCATTGACTCTCATGTACCCAGTTTTATTATCAAGTTGTAAAGGACAAGTCTGCGACGGTAACCAACCATCAGCGCTTCGTTGTAAGTGCGACCATGTCAAAAGACTCTGAACATCAAGCATAGTCCAGTTTTGCCTGGCCAAAAGTGATTGCATACAATCGAATCTGGCATCTTCAAAAGTCTTCTCTCGTAGCCATCCTCGCCATACACCTTCAAATACATAATACTGATAGAGGTACTGTGGATATAAAGTACCTCTTGTCATGCTCGCTGAATCTAATAGAAATTTTGAAAGCAACTCTCGTCCAATGACTTCAGTGTATAAGAGGTCATAACTACGTGATAATGGTAGTTGACAAAGCGGTGACATTCTCGAAAGTAGAATTGTATTTTTTAATAGTTCTGTTAAAATTATCTTGTGTTGCTTTGTAACCAAGGACTCAAATTTATTTTCCCCTACATTTGGTTGCATCATTGTGTTAATATTTGATCGGAGCTTTTCAGTTGATTTGACGATTAATGTAAATGCTACTTTAAATACATAGACTTGCATATGAAGTGCTAAATAACGGCGGCTCAGACCGAATATCTGAATTGCCAGATCTATAATTACATTTCTGTATGCATAGGCTTGCGAAATATCAGAAGTTTACCGTAGAGCTTCATAAAAATGCACGCCCGCTAGAATGAAATTTGATATAAGACAGGTCATATCTTTGACAGCCATCGATAAATCAATATAAGCGAGAGCGGCCTGTACATGATCGTCTTTCATTCTCCTAATAATAGCACGTTCATTCTTTCTAATCATAGTTAAGTGCGGTGTCTTCTTGAGACCATTTCCAATGAATGCCATATCAGGCAAATGACAATCGCCCATTATGCTGTTGACAAGATCAATCGACTCAGTTTGGTTGAAATGCAATTTTATTGATTTTACATCATTGACTAATGTTTGAATTATCACTTCATGATAATCGACTTGTTTAAAAAGATAGACAATTGCTTCAATGACTTCATCAGTCGGACAGCAAAGAAGTGCGTCATTGAGTTTGATCAAACTTGGTGAAATTCTATTTTCAAGTTTCAATATTTGTGCTTCAATGATATACATCATGGAACGGTACTTCAATGAACTTAAGTCTGATACTTTTTGCTTACCAAGGCAATCATTTAGTACAAGTCTCAAAACGGCTGGTTCACTGACAGATTCGATGGCTTTGACGAATTCCTGCATTGATAAATAAGTAGAGGCTTTGATTTGGTTGTAAAGGGCTACATTGCTGTTAGTCATCAATTTTCTATTCCAATCGGCTAAGGTCAATGTTGATTCGTTTGTTAAATTCTCATAACGACTCATATAATGAAGTCCACCGGTCATAAGCGGAATATAGTCGACTGATTTTTCGTCTTTAGTTAATTCAGCCAATAGGAGAAAATGGAATTTAAAATTTTGAGCGTCTGGAACTGAGAGTAGTTCGTTGATTTTGATTGTGTCAATCAATAAACATTTTTTTGCTTCATTTGATAACGGTAGAGCTTGGTAAAAGCGGTGGATTAATATCGGGAAAAGCTGTCCGTTAGATTTCGCTCGAGGAAAAACAGCAACATTAAAGAGTAGACTCGAATCCGAATCATTGCATTTAGAAGCTTGCGACACAATATAGCTAGAAATAGAGAACATCATTTTAGATAATGATTTAAACGATACTCAACTGTATCAAAATTAAACATTAACATTGATATGATGCATACTTACTCATCCATATTCTCGGACTGCTCTTGTAAATAACAAATTAAGGCACGTTCATATTTAGTGCGATTGAAATAATAGTCGCCGAGTTCTTGCCATCCAATGCTTGAAATACTGAGTATTTCCATGGCCAATGCTGAATCAATCGGGAAAATGTCCTCACAGAACTTGAATAACATATCTTTGCTGTCATGGAGAAGAAAGTCCATTTTAATACTCAGTAACAACTGTTCACGTCTATCATCGGAATGATAAGACAACTTGAGTCCATTCCAATCACAATCAAAATAGGCATGTATCAATGCCAAAAATGAGATAATTTGAATACTCTGAGCTTTTCGCTTCATCAGCAACACTGTATGATCAAGGCAATCGGTCATTTTAATGTTGACTGATAACAGTATCTTGATTAGATAGAAAACAATAGGATTATCATTGTTATGCAAGCTAATTAATTGTTCATGCACACTTTTGTCCATTAGGATCAATAGGTTTGCCACAAGCAAATACTGACGTTGTGAACAAAATCGATCGAGAAGTTGAATCCATGTAGAAATTCCAGGTGTAGCAGCGTGATAGCAAAACGATGCTAGTCGTAGTCGATTTTCCTGTAAAAACCGATCAACCAATGCTTCCCAATTGACTGATTTGGATAGTTTTGCTTTAATGTATAACAGATAGAGAAGACATTCTTTTTGCTTATTTGCTTCATCGAATTCAATACATTTTGTTAAAAGGTCTTCGACAGTTAATCTTAGTTCTTCGGCAAGCAGGAGACTTACTATCGCATACTCATATGAATCATTGATCGATGATTTTGCCAGTTTACAATATTCAGTAAATCGCTCACTTAAAATTCGTTGATCTTTAGCGTGCATTTTTGATATCAAGTCGAGGCAAGACTTGCCAAAAGAATAGTTCTTTTGCAAATACCCTCTTATCATTATATCGAGTAGTTCGCTGGATCCAATATGCGCGTAGAAGTAACACTGTACAGCTGAGCGATAATCACGTAATTGAATGAAATCTTGTCCAATTTGCTTGTAATAAGACGTTAAATCATCTTTCGTAAAGCGTGGAAGTAGGGCTAAGTATGTGTGATTATATGGCGAAGAACCTGTTTCAATCGCTTGCTTCAGACAATTATATATTGTCTGATTCTCTATATTGGGTAGTGTCTGTGCACACGCTCTGCACACTTTCACTGGTTGAACATAGCCTATATGTGGCACACTTCGATCAACCAAGCAATAAAAGCAATTTGTCAGACCACACATTTGACAACAATAGCGATGGCGAAAGAGATGAAATCCTTTCCCACAATCATGACAGTTCTTTTCTGAACTTGGAGAAAATGATCGTGGTGAGCTTTGAACTGTGTAATAGAAATCATCAATATTGATATGATGCCTAAGCAGATCACTATTCTTGTTCGGCATACTCAGTTGCTGAAATAAAGGTATTTTTGTTCCCTGAACTATATCTGCCTTTGGTGGAATTGTATTCCGACGAGTAGGACTGTTCAAGAGATTGTCAATGCACTGTAAAACAGTGCTATTCGGTAGATATTCATAGCATGCGGCTCGTACTAGATCTAGTGCGTTGCGTTCACACCGTCTATAATGATCACTGCTTGCGTCTGCATAAATGCTCCAGTTGCTGATCAAGGAGTTTGATTGTACGATTCGAATGGATGCTTTCATTTGATCGATCATCGCTTTTATGATTCGCCAATCAGAACTTGACCAAATATAAACATTCTCAGTCGATAGAACCGTTGGTTGCCAGTTCCAGATATTCGGTTTGATGAAGTTTTTTAAGTTTTTCTCGACTTCTGTGAACATCTCAGCTTTAGATGCTGAAGATTCTTCTGGCACTTCGAACAACTTTCGATATGGTCGTGTAACGTCACGTTTATGATCATACATATCCAAAGCACTTTGTTTGCATATCGAGCATACATTATATTGGTTGATTTCTCCGTTGATATCAAAATAATCATCAAACTGTTCGAGTACATCAGTTAGAACTGCAGCGAATTCTTCCTGGAAATTATCACAAATGTTTACATGTTTAAATTCATTTGTCCAAGTATTAATCTTTTCGGCAAAATTTTCCGACCATTTTTTACCCACATGCAATTGTGCTCGTTCGCTGAAATCATCACAGTGAACATCACTATCGTTATCGTCATCGATATGCGCATCCGTGTTGGCATTATACTCATTACGAGTAGCTTCATTCGACAGAATGTCGTATGCTTTTTGAAGAACTTGGAACATTTCGGTTGCCTTTGAGTCGGAGTTTCTATCAGGATGAAGTAAGAGAGCTAGGCGACGGTAAGCTCTTGTAATCTGTTCTATCGACGCATTTGGATCAACGCCGAGAACTTGATAATGGTTGTCTCTGTTCATCTTCGTATCTACAAACAAAATATTTCAAGTAAAAACAAACTTCGTGACAGACATCATTGGATGCGCTTATTCTATGCAAAACTATTAATTGAAATAAACCACTTCATTCTCTTCTTGGTAAAAAAGCAGTCGACTCAAGAAGCATAGTGTATTTGATCGTACTAGAGTTCGGGTTCGAACCGGGATTTTATGTAAGCCCGATGTGCGCCTTCTTTTGTTTCAGAACAACTCAGTTTACTCTCATATGTGATTACCAAGAAAACTAGAAAACGTACGAAAACAACTGAAAATCTATCCCTTATACAAAAGGTGCGATCGACGTAAGTTTCGCGTGAGACAATCCCGTACAGTTAATTTCTATTCTTAATAGAGAATAACATTACTATATACTGAAATGAAGTACAGCGCTCGAGTAAACGTTGAAAAATACTACCAATCGAGGAAATTTCCAACGAATTCGAAGCTCTGTTAGACTTATGACGATTGTTGCCGCCTCGCGCATGAATCAGCTCGAGCAGCAGAACGGTTATTGTAATAATTTGAGTCATGATTTTTTATGCTTGCTTATTGCTTCTTATTTGCCTCTGACGAAGAATTTAGAAGCCATATTTTTTCCGGTGACAGTCATCTTCACGTCATATTTTGTTTCTGACTCATCTTGACACGCGTAATGCGATAATCCCATTACACTCGGTAGTGACTTTTTTCATTTCAGCTTTCACTTATTTTCACGGCAGTGTATTTTCTTTAACCAATCATCCATATGCTGAAAGTGTGAGTTGTTTTAGTGAAATAATTTTTTTAATTTTTGCAAGTCAACACAATAGTAATAATGGCTCTTGTAATAATGAATGAATGAATGTACGTATTTTTTTTAAAGGGGTGTGGGTGTGGGTGTGGGTGTGGGTGTGGATGAGTGTTGGTGTTGCGTAGTGTGAAGGTGCCGGTCTTGATCCGGCAGAAAAATCGCACCCACATCCAACACTCTGCACAGATCCACACTCACACACCCACGCCCACACCCACACCAACACACCGAGACCGACACCCACACGAACACCCACACGAACACCCACGTCCACACCGACACCCACACGAACACCCACGTCCACGCCGACACCCACACCCACACCCACACCCACACACACACTCACACCCACACCCACCCCCACACCCACACCCACACCCACACCCACACGCACA